GTTTTTTGTTTAAACATTTTAAACCCCCCCCCCCTTGGGGGGGGGGGGCCCCCCCCCCCCCCCCCCCCATACATGCGAATGTCTTTATGGGGCCGCGCCTCAAGCTCAAGGCGTCACACATTTTTCTCAATCTATCCCTCTCTCTACAACGTGGGTCATTCAAAAATTTTCTCCCTTGAGGTGTCGTTGCATTTTGACAGGTGAGTCTGAAAGCCAGGTTGCACACTTCAGTCGATTATTGCATCATCCACGAGCAAGAATCCTTGTGAAATCCCACAAGTTTCACTGGGTAGCACACTTGTCGACGCCAGAAACGCTGACATCATGACAAACGGCGCCAAACGCGTCGCACTACGGGTACAATTATCTTGCGGGTTTGCAACATCATGTTTCACTCGACGACCCACAATTAGTTCACTCTCAATGTCAGGAACCCTTGTCCACGACATCATGATTGGCATGATCACCTTCTCGACTCTTTTCAAGCTTGCTAACCCACAAAACTCTTGCCTGATTGTGTGGGATCTATTGGCAACTCAATGCGCAAACACCTTCACTCTTTCAGCCCCCTGTCATCCCATCACATCGCATGCAAGGTACACGAATGTTCCTGATGGCTTGCTCATAACCTTTCCACCCTCCACACCTCGAACAAAAGGATTTCATTGTGGTGTGGCTGCCATTTCCAACAGCACCCCCGTCCTTCCTCCACCGCCTTTTCGCTTTGAACCTTGCCCCGATCTGAACGCTGCTTCTGCTTGCTGGTACTCTCTCTTTTCTTTCCTGCTTGTCTTTCTTCTCCTTCTCCTCCTCCTCCTCCTTCTTCTTCTTGTCTTTTTCTCGTTTGCTGTCTTGGCTGCCGCTGTTGTTTCGCGGGCTCTTGGGGGACTTCCTCCGGCCTTCATTGCGTGCTTGAAACCTCGAGCCACCTCTGCTTGAGCGACGCCGCTCTCGCCGTTTTCTCTCCTCTGAAACAGGTAATGCTGCACATGGTTTCTGACTCGTGGGTGATCACACATTCCCTCATCCCACACAGACGCGCGGCCACCCCTGTACGCTTGCAAGGAAAGATCCAAGTGGTCGTTGGGGGGGGCGGCCTCAGCGTTGATCAACGCCTTTTGTTGTCGTGATCCCTTCCTTCCCCTCGCGCAAGGCGTTGTTTTGGGCACGACCTTGGCAATCTGTTTCTTCCTTCCTCTTCTTTGGCTTTTGCTCACCACCCCCGCCCCCCCTTTCGTCCACGCTCTTGCAGAAGCCCTCAACCAGCGCTTCTTTCTTTTTTCGTTATTGGTGACAGGTGAGTCGCATTTATCTCATGTGCTCGACTTTACGCAACGAAATGTTTCCTGGAAGGTCTTTTCCTTTGGACTCTGATCAAGATCCCCCGTAAATGTACTTGGCTCATCTGGTCTCGCTCTCCTTTTCTTTCTCCTTCACCTTTTGGCCCCCGTTGCACACACACCGTTCTTTCTTTCTTTCTTCCTTCCTTCCTTCCCCCCTTTTTTTTATTCCTCCGTCGTCACCGACGAATCCTTGCATGATCATGCACGCGTCAGCTCAGGTTGGCGGTCGTCATGCGTGGCGCTCTCGAAAGACACACAACTTAAACAGACAACCGCTTGTACGCCCGACCCCCGCCGGCGTGGTCATGGCCACGGCGACCAACTCCGACTCGGGCGGCGACGACGTTGCTCAAGTCTTGCTGGCTTTCAAGAAAAAGCAGCACGACTGCGAAACAAGAGGTGCTGGTTCTCCTTCTTCACCAATGATCGAGGTGGATGACGGCAAATCTATGCACTCTGAACAGGATTCCGGCAGCGAGGTCGCCTCGGGGTCTTCCTCCTCCTCCTCTTCTTCTTCCTCTTCCTCCAACACCTCGGTCACGTCGGCTGAACGTCTTGATGCTGATTGTCCCTCCATTCATGGATCTCGCCTACATCGTCGCCGTCGACCCCACGGCAACGGTAAACACAAGGCCAACAGTATGAGTGGGGTCAACAATGACCCCACCTCCCTGAATGCTGCTGTGACCAACGATGTAGCTGGCAAGATAGGCAAATCTGGTACCCTCAACCCCGGTGCTTCACTGAAACAAATCAGGAGCAGCGACAACCAAGGTCTACAACCCACCGCCCCACCTCAGAAGGCCGAGGCCATCTTGGCTCAAAACGACTCGGATGACACCCCGGACCGCTCCGACGCGTCTTCCAATTCGGGCAATAGTGGAGACAAGTCCAGCTCCACGACCAATTCCTCCAAACCATCAACGGATGTCGCCTCGCGCGTCTCAGCAGCCGGCCTTTCGCGGGCCCCTGCATCGGCCAGCGATCGCACCGAAAAGGCGGAGCTTGGTCAGCTGCTCGATAAGGATGACGATACCGCAAGCATGGACACCGCACAGACGCAGTCGACGCGGCGTAGCAATACTGGTGGCCGCAACAACATGCCTCACGAAGTTACCAGTCGACTCAAAGAATGGTTTTTCGCCCACACTAGCCACCCCTACCCCAGCGAGCAGAAAAAGGTGTGTTTGGCGTTTAAGATGACATATTGCTCCACCCAGTCGCATGGTGGGATGGTTGGTCACATGTGGCGTCGTGCCTCATGTCCACCCCCAGACCAACACACACCGGCCAAAGCCACTGGTTTCGCCTCTAGTGTTTGACAGCATTCTCCTGACCCTGCCTTGCCCATCCTTAGCGCGAGCTGGCAAGTCAATGTGACCTGACGCTGCAGCAAATTAATAATTGGTTCATCAACGCCCGACGCCGGCTCTTGAACCGGCCACCCAAGCGTTCAAACGGCACAGCCCTGCGGGTGCGTTTCCTCCGACCCAAGTTTGTCGGGTTTCAGTTCTCTCCCGGCATTTTCATGCGTCATAATGACCCTTGCTCTGTCCTCGTTTGCAGCAGGTCACTCGGAATGCCGCAAGTCGTGTCGAGACGAGCGAGTCCTCAGAAAGCTCCGGTCCTCGAGCCAAGCACGTCAAGCGCGGGGAAGAGGGCTTGCAAGAGCTGGATAGCTCAGAGGCATCGGAAGGCAACGATCACAGTGAAAAGCCATCTTCAAGCGAGGAAAGCTCCATGCACGACTACGCCCGTCAAATGCGTCTGCTTGAGCAAGAGGTCGTGGCACTGCGCAGCATTAACCAGCAGCAACAGGAACAAATCATTCGTCAGCAAGAAATTCTGAGCCACTTGCAGCAGCAGGAGCAGGAACGTCTCATGCGTGAGCGCGCCTCGATGATGATGCATCAGGAGATGTTGCAGCAGCAGAATCGTTACATGGGTTCAATACCCAAGCCCAACGTACCGTCACCGGGTATGCCCGGAGGTCCAATGGTCGCAGTCACCGTCCCTAACGGAGTCGGATCAGCTCGCCTACGGCCAGGCCAAGCATCATACCTAGGTGGCCCTACGCTACCACCTGTCTCCATGGGGGCTGATCCCACCGGTTTGAAGATGGGCTCTATGAACAACTACTCGTATTGGCCTATGGGCATGCAGTCCTGGCCCTTGGTCCCGCAAGCGCCGCAAGGGGGCAAATTTGGGCCTGTGGGCAGTTCGGAGAGCCACAGTGGTTCAGACGGAGGGCGCTCTTTGGTTCAGGCTGGCATGCACATGCGGTCGGGCTCTGAATCGGATGCACGCGCTCGCACGTCAATGTCCCCGGACTCGGGTCACAACTAGGCTTGTGATGCTCATGTCTGTTTGTCACAGTTTCCTCTCAAGCGCTTTGAGTGAACCTTTGAAACTGTTGACGTGGCTGCCCGGACCCTTGCCGTTACCTTTTGATTTTTTTTTATTAATAAGTGTTTGTTTTCTTCCAATATCTTGATTTATGCCATCTTTATGGCTCCCTAATCTCGCAGCGGCTGCGCCGTTTTCTGCTTCCCGTGACTTTTTGGCTTCCACCATTGCTGGTCGAGTAGTCAATTCAACGTTGAAGCGCTTTCACACATTCTCACTCCCTTCGCCCACACGAGCCTGACTAACATTTGGTTTCACACCTTTTCAAAGTCTAACATCTTTCACACTTTGACCATCATCGTTGGCTCGAGCGATCGACTTGCATCTGATGATTTTTATTTTTATTTTTTAAGTTTGTTGGTTTTTTTGTTCTTTCGACCTCCTCGTTCCGTCAAGATGGACATCGACCATGAAATCAGCCTGCTCGTGGCTTGCCTCAAGCGCATTGCCGAGCCTGGACCGGATGGCAAGCTCCAGACTACCTTTGGCAAGATCTTTACGGATGAGGTACGTACGCCAGTACGGTTCAGTCTCGTCATCTTGACCCTTGGGACTGATTGATTCATGAATCAACTGTGTCTACTTGGCTTGGGCAGATTCTGGAGCAGCAGTTGGAGAGCCTCGTCGGCACGATGAAGGCGGCCAAGAAGCGTGGTATCATCAGCTTCGAGGGCCAGATGTATGTTATCTCGCGTTTGTGGCTGGGGCGCCTGCACTGCCCCGCTCTTCCCTGACTGTGTTTGCTTGAGCATCATCCCGCAAGCGCTCAATCGTGGTCTGGTGTTGTTCGACTTGCAGGCTTTTGCAAGGCGCACACGACCATGTCGTGGTGACGCTGCTCAAGGACGAGTAGGGACTTTAACAACTCATCGACCCAAGCATTGAGTATTCAATTGTGCTTCGGCGCATTGCGATATCACAAAACCCCCCAACCAAAATTAAAAGGACATTCATGCACGACTCTATTGATGAAAACGTCAGCTGCTTCAGCAGCTGGCCCTCGTCCGGGTACCAGCTCGGATGGGCCCGATCCCACCGTGACAAGATGCCTTGTCTTCGGATATGCACCCTTTTATGTTTCATTGTTAATTTTTATCGCTCGTCAAGAACATGAGGGCACCACACAAAATATGGCACTTGGCGACCACCTCCACCACCCAGCGCTACCCTTTTCAAATCCTTGGGTAGGCAGATAGCTAGGAACATAGATGCAGCCACGAATACAGACACGGCCAAAAATACACACTTGTAAGAGAACGAGCGGAGTGAGAATCGGCAGGGCCACACATCCCCTTGAGAAATCTGGGCGCCTGTTTGTGTCTCAAAAACTCGAGTCTAGACTGTTTCTTCGCGCATGCTGGTGTGGGAGCCACGACGTGCTTGCTGTTGCATCCGGCGCTGCTGCTCCTGCAGACATTAGAAGCAGTGCATGAGCGGGCAACACGAAATGAGTATGACGCACAGCCCTATCTCCAGCATAGATGGAGCGCCCAGTGGTGCAGGCTGTTGCCACATCGTTACGGCTGGCTTGCAAATACCTCGAACTTGCGACGTTCAGCCTCGAATCGCCGACGCTCTTCTTCCAAACGGCGGGCCTGCTCCTCGAGCTCGCGCTGCTTCTGCTCGTACATCTGTGCAGAGTGGTGCACAGTTCCAAAGTAGTGAGTGCGCAACCCGGCATGCCAGCGCTTGGGTTCAGGTTAGACGGGTGTGCCTGATGCAGGGACAACGCCGATGAACAAGCACACCTCCGTGTCTCCCGCCAAGGAGGCATCCGGGCTTGCACGCGAGGCAGGTGTGACAGATGTGTTGGCCGTCACGTTCAAACTACCGCCTTGGGAAAGCTGTGCCAGGGAGGGGAGGGGAGGGAGGGCCCGGGACGCGATTAAAGGGTGCAGCAGATGTTTAAGGGTGCGCAAGGTTCATGCGCTTGGTCCTGTATTGTAAGTGGCACCGAAACTGGCAAGGATGCTGATACCATGTGGACGAGTCACCGACCTTTTCACGACGATACAACTCGTACAACACCTCCGCCGTTGAGTCCTTGAGATCCTGTAGATGTGTCCTACGCAAGCGCACGCGGGATGAGGCATCACGATTGACCGCCATGTGATTGTACAAGAACGTACTTGACCAGCGTATTGCGCAGGAGGTCAAAGTCGCAATGGTCGGGATTGTCCACTGAAGAGTCATGTCAGTTTTAATATTAAACACCCGTGTCAAGAAACATAGTCAGGCGGCAATCAGACGACGGCCCGAGGTCCAAAAGGCGGTACGGTCAGGGAACGGATCGGATTTGGCGCACGCTGGGCAGGCCGAGGCAGCTGACCTTCGACTACGCCCCAGGGGTAGCGGCGACCCCGCATGGTACCGCCAGCCGCTTCCAAAACAGTGTCGCTGCCCACCAAGGCGAATGGCATCGAACCCTGGAGAGGCACAGCGGTATGAGGTGGGGACAACGGTTTTGAATATGGAGTGTTGGGCTCAAGAGCCCGGCCTCAAAGGGCAATGATGCGAGGGGCAAAGGGAGCAGGGCCACGATTACACACAGCAATGCGCAGGCTCAGCTTGTACGACTCTTCATCCTCATCGTCAACGGCTGGGCGGAAGAGCTGGATATGGTGCTCTTGAATATCGGCTTGAATCTGGGGTAGGACCGCCGTGGATGAAGCGCATAACGTTGAGGGCGAGCGTTATCGAAATTGCCAGCCCTCTTTGGCGCCACATCAGCCGCCACCAACCTGAGCCTTGAGGGCTTTCAGTTCGCCCTTGGTCAGCATGTCGGACTTGCCAATGACGGGGATGATGTTGACCTTTTCGTGCAGGGCCTTCAAGGCTGCAATGTCCAGAGGCTTGAGGCTAAAACGGTTGGGGTAAGATGCATGAGCTTGTTGATCGCTTCCACGTGTGGCCCTTCCCAAGCTGCAATCACCGGCATCTGGACGGAGCTTTGGCCACGACCATACCCGCGCGCGGAGGGGTCGATGAAATACAAAAGGGCATGTACACGCTTGTCCATGACGTTGGAGCGGTCAAGCTTGTTCTCCTCTTGCAGGGACAGCTCAAAGGCACTGTCGATGTACTCCACCAACGGTTGCCAGCAATTGGTGTTGTTGACAGCGTCGGCAAAACCCGGCGTGTCAATGATGGTGAGGCGCAAGGTGAAGCCAGCGTCACCAATCGTCTTGGTTCGTTCTGTAATCTCAACAGTCGAGGCAATGCGGTCTGCGGCAGCCAGGCGATCTGTGTCCGTCTCATCATTTGGTTGCATGAAGAGTGTTCGCACGAGGGTACTCTTGCCCAATCCAGAGGCACCTGAGCACAAAACAGTTGTCATCTCTTAGCCAAAACAGGATGCTTGATGCTTGTCTGCAGACATCTTGATGCTCCGCCCGCAGACAGACACCCGACACGAAGGCTGACTCACCGGCAACCATCAACGTAAAGTCGTAGCCCTTCTTGGCAACCTTGCGAAACACCTGGCGCTGAATGCCACTGAGTCCCATGGACTGCCGGTCTATCCTCGCGCGACCCAGCGTCAGAAGCAGATGAGTGAGCACCGACGCCCCCGCCTCCCTGGGCCCACTGCGCGCAATTCAACATCTGATGGCTCGCGCGTTCAACGTACTCATGGCTTTGCGATGTGTCATGACGGCGGTATTGTGGTGTGTGACCTTTCGGCACGAAGCGTCTGCTCCCCTTTCCAAACAGCGTACAAGCCTTGAACCGAGGGTGAGCGAGCGCGGGATCCAGACACCTCTTGCTGATCCAAACGGGCAACTGCACTGCCATTCAGGCCCAGAGAGAGAGAGAGAGAGAGAGAGAGAGAGAGAGAGAGAGAGAGAGAGAGAGAGAGAGAGAGAGAGAGAGAGAGAGAGAGAGAGAGAGAGGAGAGAGAGAGGGTGGACCACTCACTGTTTTGAGAAAAGACGAAAAAGAAGAAAATGGATTTGTGCAGCTATCCTGGGAGATGTTGTCGAAGATGGATGAAAGGCAACGTAAACCAACTAATAAGGCGTCATAGCTTTCGTCGTGGCAATCGTGGCAATTGTCGAATCAAAGTGCACGAGCGGTTTTGAATTTCTCTCTCTCTCTCGTGTGTTTGAAATTTGTCAGCATTTGAGGGCATTTTTTTGAGGGTGGCAGCGGCAAGCAGGAAGAGTGAATACGGTGGTGGTGGGCGGATGTGTGTGTGTGGGGAGGGGGTAGATTGGCAGCGCAGCACCCCCGCCATGGCGGCCACACTGCTCACGCTGCAAGTTGAGGGTGCCTCGGGTAGTGAGCTGACGCTGACTTCTGCCAGCGTGAGCTCAGAGGACGTTCCGACGCTGGTTCAGGCTCTGAACCAGGATGGGCGAGCAGAGCGCGTGAGGACGCTGACCCTTGAGCGGCTCAGCGTCGCCAACTACGATGTGCTGGCGCCCCTCGTGGCCTGCTGCCCCAATACAGAATGCTTGCGACTCAATCGGCTGGTCATCCGACCCGAGTCTGGGGCAGCCACGGCTTCGGCTGGCTTGCTGGGCCAGCAAATAGGCTCGCTGCGCCACCTACGCGAGCTCAATCTCGACCACAACGACCTGCGGGACGCGGTGTTGTTGCAGCTGGGCCGAGGCCTCGAGCACGCACCGGCACTGCACACCCTCTCCCTGCGTGACAATGAATTGACGGCAGATGCAGGCATAGCCATGGCCAAGGTTCTTATTGGCGTGCCTTCCCTCCAGCAACTTGACCTGAGCCTCAACAATCTAGGTGACTCTGGCATTGTCGCCCTCTCCCATTCGGCCGGTGCTAGTGGACTGCGTGGCCTGCATCTCGATGGCAACTTTGTCACTGCCGTCGGTGGTGAAGCACTCGCAGACTCCCTGTGCATGAGCCAGTCCTTGGAGGAGCTGAGCGTACAGGACAATAAACTTGGGGACCAAGGCATGGCAGCCATCGAGCGGCTGTTGGAACAAATTCCCACCCTGACTCGCCTCTCCAGTCGTGGCAATAAGTCAATGCTCTCTGGTACAGCAATTTAGATGATCGACTCAAAGCATTATTTTTATCATTCGCGCTGGTTCTTTCTGGCATGACCCCACGTTTGGTCCGTGCATGAGTACATGCGGCATCTGCATACTTGTTTCATGCTGCAGTGTCTGCTTTGACACCCCATACTCACTCAAAGGCTCTGGTATCAACAACGGTTGACTCAGCTGATACGGTACAAAAGGATAGAATCTGATTCACAAAACGATCGAGACGTCAACGACACGGGGACAAGTCAGACTAGACAAGCCAAGCACAGCCAGCTTATTCAGGTCGACTTGCTCTTGCTCTTCTTCTTGCTCGCCGCTTTCTTCTTGGCGGCGACCTTGGCGCCACTCGCGCCACTTCGCTTTTCACGCACACGGGCAGCCGCCACAGCAGCATCGTGTTGCTGTGCACCCTTTTTCTTCCGCGACGCCTTGGCTGCCTTGGCCTCAGCAGCTCCACTGCGGGCTTGGCCCTCCTCCAGGCTCAAATTCTGCATAATTGTGTTCCAGTCCTCGTCCTCATCCGATTCCTCAAAAGTATCCATGTCATCTGGCAGCCCAGCAGCCTCACGAGCTTCCCGTTCCTCCTCACGGGCCTTCTCCTGTGTCAATGCGATGGTGTGGGTGTGAAAAAGAGGCGTTAGAGGTGTCTTTGCACGAGCAGCCAAAGCAGCCAAAGCCGGAAAAAAAAAAGCAAAAAAAAAAGCAAAAAAAAAAGCAAAAAAAAAAGCAAAAAAAAAAAAAAAAAAAAAAGCAGCACGTACCCGAAGTGCGCCTTGCTCGGCGCCCCGCGCATGCCGTTTGCCAAAGTGGCGGCGAACTGCCAACATGACATGATATAGATGGCGGTGACAGTGAATAGTTTGACCAAGCAACCGGATGGATGGCAGGCAGGCAGGAGTGAAAGGCAAAAGAGACGTACCACCACCATTTTCTGCCAGGTTGAGAACCTTGGGGCCACCGGCATGGCCACCCACACAAAGGGTGAAGGGTGAATCCGGATTAAAACCCATAGTGTAGAGCGGGCCCTGTTCAAGAAAATACAAAAGAACATTGAAAAATACGAGGGCAAATATTTTGGAATGAGATTCTGATCATTGCCTGTTCATGAACTGGAGAGAAGCGATCATCACTGCAACACACACACACACACACACACACACACACACACACACACACACACACACACACACACACACACACACACACACACACACACACACACACACACACACACACCTGCTCCAGCTCACGGCTCAGCACAATGAGAGGCTTGTTATCGGTCACGTCCCAGACCTTCATGTGTTGATCGGGAGAGCCCGTCACGAGCAAACCTGGCACCTAAGCAATATGATCAAGCAAGAACATTGGTTAAAAAAAAAAAAAATGAAAAGTCAATCTCTAAGTAAAGCATCAAAAGTGGAGCCAGGCGCTGGTGTAATGAGGTGACAGGCTCCGGGTCACTCGCACACCTGTGGGCTGATGGCCAGGCACGAGACGGCACGATCATGTGCACTGAGCGTGAAAATGATGGAGCCTGGGTTGCGAGTATCGCATGCTTGAAGCATGCCATTGGACAGCCTAGGCAGAGAGTTCCACAGCAGTGAGCTGTCGACGTCAAGGCGGGCGAGCAGGCCACAAGCCAAAACATTTTGGGTCCTACCCCACGAAGAAAATGGCTGCGTCGTGAGGGTTCCAGTTGAGGCACTCAACATCGTCCGCAAAGGTCCAGCGTGCGACGCTCTGCTCCAACACAGCGCAATGCAGCGGGCAATTGTTAGATCCAGGTCATGATGGCTCGAAAGCAAGGCACCCCGACAGAAAACACTGAAAAACACGACAGGCCCACCAGGCCCAAAACCAAAAACAAAGACTGACTTCGGGGGCGCGGACGTCAAATGCCACCGCGGTGCGATCGTGGGCGCCCGTGAGCAGGACGGTGGCCTGCTGAGGGTTCCAGGCCACATTCTCCACGGGGGCCGAATGGTGGTCATAGGTGCGCATGCAGGTGCCATCTTCCAGGCTCCACAACCGCACGGTGGTGTCAGCAGAGCTGCTGGCCAACAATGTGGGCTCCAGGCGGTTCCAAGCCAGGCTCAAAACCTCTTTCTTGTGTCCAATGCGCTGAGCACGATACGCAAATCAGCCAGTGAGTCAAGTTCCAGAGTCAGCTCGGCGTCTGCCGATTTAAGAGGCGCCTTCATGCATCACGCGAGGTCGAACCTTCTTCTTGCCCTTCTTGCTGCGCTCGATTCCACCAAGCTTAAAGGCAGGCTCGGGCGCATCAATCACATCCAAATCCCAAAGATCAATCTAAGATCCCCAGCAAGTGAAATCACTTGTGAACCTTCGGTGCCAGCACCGCGGGTTATATCTGTGGTCACCCATGAAGAAGAGAGCATACCTCCTTCTCCATCGTGCCCACGGCAATGAGATTGCCCTTGTGATCCTCCGCTCCTGGGTCATAGCCCACCCAGGTGAGCGCCAGCGGGAACGAGTCCAGCAGGATGTCATGATGCACAAAAAATGAATCCTCCTCCTCGTTGTACACTGCATATGTACACATCCACCCAGGACCAGGCAGGCAAAGCTGAGTTTTGACAGTTGACAGGGTTTGCTCGATCGACAGGACAAAAACGTACAGTGAACTTCGATGTGGCTGAGCGCTTCCTCGGAGCGGCCAACGACGACAAAGTTGTCCGTGGGCTTGACCCGGAAATCATCCGCGTCCTCATCCTGCAAAGCCGGCAGGCACAGGTGGCAAGTGAGGCACCGAGTGGAGTGCGAAGCAACATTTGCAGGCGGGCAACAGGTTGGCAGTATCCAAGGCGTGCAGACATACATCCTCTTGCATGACAATGTAGGGGTCTTGTGTGTTGTTGGCGTAGTAGGTGAGGTTACCAAGGCCGGCAGCTCCACCAAACGTCTCAGCTAAACAATGGACCACATGTCAGATTGGGAAGCGCAAGCCAGGTCAAAAACCAGACTATTCATTCGACAAACAAGCTTCACAGCGCACCAGCATCCTCTTCATCGTAGTCAGCCATGTTGTAGGCTTCCAGGTCGGCATCGTCATCAGGAACGGGCGACATGGGGGGCACGGGCTCATCCATGTCTGCAGCCCCGGCATCCTCGTCGTCTTCATCATCTACATCCTCCCATTCTCCATCCTCAGCGTCACCCTCAGCCATGGCATCAGCCATCTCGGCCTCGTCTACCGACTCGGCGTCCTCTGCGCCAGTCTCTGCGGCAGCCCTGCAGAAGCAAAGGCATGTCGACCCCGCACCACATTTCGCCAGATGAGTAAGGGTGTCTCTGTCGCATGAGTGGCTGCCTTTTTGTGTTTCAAAGGCGTGGTCACGAATGCGCACTACAAACCCCAGCTTGGTCTTGGCATTCTCGATGAGTGCCTGCAGGTCATCCTGCGAGAGCTCAACCTGATGGCGCGGGTGGGTGTGAGCCAGGTATCAAAGCTGCTGTTCGCTGTGTCTCAAAGCATGCACGACAGACCTTGTCGGGGTTTTCCTTGGCAGCTCCTTGCGGCACCCAGGCAGAGCAGGCTGTGATTGCACTCGCCATCACCACGGTCCATATACCTAGACAGTCCCCGAGCACAGAGCCACCAAATCCGAGGAGGAAAAAAGAGACACGGGAAGCGTGTGCTCGCTCAGAACAAAAGCGGAAAGCACACGTGTTCGCTAAGAGAGAGAGAGAGAGAGAGAGAGAGAGAGAGAGAGAGAGAGAGAGAGAGAGAGAGAGAGAGAGAGAGAGAGAGAGAGAGAGAGAGAGAGAGAGAGAGAGAGAGAGAGAGAGAGAGAGAGAGAGAGAAGCACACTCACATGGCAGAAAACACAAAGAGGTGAAATGTCAGATTTTACTGATCAAATCTCTCGTCATGGCAGCCAAGCGGAGCAAGGAGGAGGCTGGCGACGTCGAGGTCGAGGCTCGGACGGCCGAGGTCTCGCGGACAACGAAGGAGACTGACATTAAGGTTAGGTTGTACTCTGGCGGGATTGATTTGGTGGGACAGCAGTTTGTCCAATCATCTGTCAGGCTCATGATCCCACTCGTCCGCCACCTCATGTGGCGCGTGCCTGAGTAGGTGGACCTCAACCTCGACGGCACTGGGGTTTACACGGTGGACACCGGCATTGGCTTTCTTGATCACATGATCTCGGCTTTGGCCAAGCATGCCAAGTTTGACTTGAACCTCAAGTGCAATGTTCGTGGCAAGGCGCTTCCTCTGTGCTGTCCGCATCAGGCTGAACTTTCTCTGCTGGTTCCCCGCGTTTGAGTTGAAGGGAGACGACACTGGGGTCGTGAGTTCCTGCTGGCAATGGGTTTGATTGAAGTACCGAATTGTTTGGGTAGGGGGACCTTCATATCGATGACCACCACACGACTGAGGATGTCGGTCTAGCATTGGGCGCGTAAGTTGTCGCCGCTTGGTGGCTCGCGCGATGGTGCGCACTTGAGTCAAGCTGATGTCGCACGTGTGTGATGGAATAGGGCATTTGACAAGGCGCTGGGCGCGCGCAAGGGCATTCGTCGCTTTGGCAGTGCCTATGCCCCTCTGGATGAGGCTCTTTCTCGGTGCGACTTGCCAAACTTTGATGCCTATTGTTTTTGCCAACAGTTTGTGCGCAGCCGCGGTTCATGTTTCATGCTGTTTTGTCTAGATCTGTCGTGGACATCTCGTCTCGACCTTACGCCGTCATCAAGCTTGGCCTTAAGGTGTGCCAGTTTGCTTCGCGTCGCCTCAATCGTTTTGGCCATAGCTGCATCGTGTTCTTTGGTGATTGCGCGTGGGTTTCATGTTCAAGCTCATGCTTTGCTTGCCGGTCCTCGGTTCTCCACTCATCCGCAGCGCGAGAAACTGGGCGCTTTGTCTTGTGAAATGATTCCTCATTTTCTCGAATCCTTCGCCCAAGAAGCGCGGTAAGTGGCGGCCAGGTGTGGGGCTGAATGGTGAAGACAGCGCGTTTTTTCTTCAACACAGCCGTGCAACTCATCTAATTCTCTTCTTTTGGTTGCTTGCTGTTCCGGTCCAGCATTACCCTGCATGTGGAGTGCTTGTACGGCTTTAACGATCACCATCGTGCGGAATCGGCCTTCAAAGTACGACATGGCTGCGCTTCTCTCCGTGTGATCTTGGTCCTGGGCCTGTCAAGCTGGTTATTGCAACTTATTTGCATCTTCCTTCCTCTGCACCTGCGTAGGCGACTGCTGTGGCACTGCGCGAGGCCATTGGCATCGTGGCTGGCTCCACCGATGTTCCCAGCACCAAAGGTCAGTGGCCTCGAGGGCCGTTGATGCTGCGCTCTGCGTGTCAGCCTACATCTTCTTTCCTCATGTGCGCTCGAAACTCGCCCTCTGTCGTCCCAACACAGGCGTCTTGGCCTAGAGCCGGACCTCTTGTTTTGACGGATGCTCAGTGTAGGTTTGGATTGTTTCCCCCTGTTTCAAAATGCAAGCCTTGGCCCGACTCTTTTTGCAAAGCATCCCAGCGCTTGTAAATTGACAACAAAAACAAGGCGATGAATTTGTCAAAATGTCCATCCGGCGCTGTGGCTTTGCGTCCCTCTGTTGAGCACCTGCCCAAGGCGATCCATGACTATAACATCAATTTTCCCAAAGCGAGCATCCAACGCTGCCAAACTAGATCCGACCGCACACACTGCACACAAATACACCGCTTTTTTGTGCCTTTCATAAAACGTTTGTTATTTTGTGCTGTTTTTGTGTTGTGTTTTTTTTTTTGTGTGTGTGTGTGTTTTTTTCCCTTGGTGTGTCAGCGACGGGCTCGGGTCTGGGGGTTAAATGTACGCCTGGCTCAAAGCGCTTGAAAGGATCGGGTGACAGTGACCTCTGCATCGCCGGAATGCTTGCGGTGGGCTACGTCTTGTTGGCGCTTTCGGCGCTGGCAGTTGGAGGGACACACGCTGCGACGGCCGACCAATGGCGACGTGAGGTCATTTACCAGGTTCGCCAAATCCAAGGCTTGTCGTTACCCAACACTCATACTGCTTGATCTCGCTGGCGCCTCACGCCTTTTCTGCGCGACACACATACGTTAGATCTTGACTGATCGCTTTGCCAACCCCAGCCAGCCGACTGAAGCCTGTGCAGATCTTTCCACATACTGTGGCGGCACGTGGGCGGCGGGTGTCCCCTATCTGGACTACATCCGCAAGCTTGGCGCCACGGCCGTGTGGATATCACCCATCCCTGACAACACCGAGTACGAAAATCGTGTGCCATGACACTGGCCATGATCCGCGGATGGCTGCTCGCGTGACGCTGCACCCCGTGTTTTGCACGTCACATTCACCACCCTTCTCTGCAACCTGGGACCGACAGCGGTGGCTACCATGGATACTGGCAGCAGAACATGAGCCGTCTCAACGCCAACTTCGGGGATGCCAACGGCCTGACACAATTTGTTGAGGTAAGTCTGCTGACCCTCGCACCAGTATTGCATGGACGCCAACTCTTGAAGTCTGCACCGGCCGACTCACTTCATCATGAGCCGGGTGGCGCCCTCTTCGAAAGGCATGTCACAAGTTGGAGATCAAAGTAATGCTGGACGTCGTCATCAATCACGTTGGCAACCAGGTCAGCAGATGCCTCTCTCTCGCGACCATGCAAGTGGTCCCCGAGTTCCACTACTCGCCCAACGCCTGATTGCTGCTGTTCCCTTCTGCTCCCTCGACGCGTGTAAGAGAATAGGATTCAAGCGATCACAACGATTTTCATCAATTTTATCCATTCAACTCGGTTGACCATTACCATAGCTACTGCATCATTCAAGATTTCACCAACTTGCAGCAGGTTCAGCTCTGCCGCTTGTCGGGTCTACCGGATCTAAATCAATCCAATACATTTGTGGATGGGTTCCTCCGTGACTGGATCAAGTCAACCCTTCAAGTAAGCCACGGCTAGTTCTTCGAGCCTGTTCGTGCTCGCCATCATGGGCCCACACTTCAAAATGCTCTTTTGGATTTCATATTACACTTGTATTCCTCGTGCCCACACTGGAACGATGGCAGACCTTTGGGTTTGACGGCCTGCGCTATGATACCGTCATGGAGGTGCCAGCGGCATACTGGGCGAGCTACACTAGTGATCTTGGTGTCTTTACCATTGGTGAGGTTGATGATGGAGACGTGGCCACCGTGGCACCCTTTCAAGGGCCCCTGGATGCCACCTTGAATTACCCCATGTATTGGGCGCTTCGCCACGCCTTCCAAGAAAAGCAATCCATGTGGGGCATCTCAACAACATGGAAAGATTGCAAAGCCTCTTTCCAGGACACAAAGCTCTTGGGGCTGTTTGTCGACAACCACGACAACCCCCGTTTCCTCAATATTAACAGCGATAGCGTGGCCCTGGCCAATGCCCTCGCTTGGATTCTATTTGCCGAAGTTGGTGGCTCGTGTGGCGGGGTGCCTTCAGCTGCTTTTTGTTTTTCTTTCTGAACAGGGCTGCCGAAAGAATACAAAGAGCACAGCTCATGGCCATCTGTCTGTCGCGCAGGGCATTCCAATCATTTACTATGGCACTGAACAGGGCTTCAGTGGTGGCAATGATCCTGCCAATCGCGAGGACCTCTGGCGCTCAGGCTATCAAACGTCAAACGCCATCTTCACGTTCGTGAATCGCGCCTGCGGGGTGCCTGATGTATCCAAATGAAGCACAGCAGTGCACACACCATGCTGCGAGGCTATAAACTGAAATTTGCATGCGCACTCCTTTGCTGGGCTCTCACGAGTCGGGTTGCCTGTGGTAGGCTGTTGACGGTGCTGACTACCTATCGAAACACCTTACCGGATAGCTTCTTTCAGGCCGAGCAGCTGGAGCGCTACGTGATGGATGATCTCTACGTCTTTGTGCGTGGTCAGGTATGTGGTCATGCAGAATAGAGTTGTCTGTTCTGCCTCAGCCAGCCACTTCTACTCTGGGGCCAGAAGCGTAGCAGATTGAGCTTGCTTTTGTTCTTCGAGCCTAACGGGGCATCCATCGCTTTGCCTGTTGTACATGCTGTTCTGCTAGGTGATCGTGGCCACCACAAACGGTGGAAATGGCCACAGCACTAGTGCATCAGTGCCTGATCTTCCCTTTGCCAATGGTACACGACTGATTGATATTGTGGCAGGCAAGGATGCTATCACGGTCAACAACGGCACCGCTGATATCGTCATTGATGACGGTGCGTGTGTCGAGTTGTGTCTTGCGCCCTCCCCTGTTCGTCCACGACCGTTGCTTTGTTATGGCCCCTCGGTGTAGGTCACACCCGAGTCACTGACCCATTGTCATTGTGGCGTGGTACAATGTTCCCCAGGCCTGCCGCGTGTGTTTGTCCTGGAGAATACTACTCTGGCACTGTGGCCGAGCAGCAACGCTTAGGCTCAAGCTCTTTGTTATCCTAGTGTAGCTCTGGTATCCGCAGCAAGGAGCCAAGACCTGCCAAATGCGTGCCTGCTCAAGACTTAAGGGCTCGCGTCAACTTCTCACCTTGCCGTGCCCCGACCTCCTTGGATTTATACTTTTGACATGTTGATGGCCGACGATGCAATTGACATCCTCTCAATTTATCGTCCTGGTATGCGAGTCGGCTCGGCCGGAGGCACCCGCACAACACCAATGCTCCTTCATTAGACAGGAGCAGCGCGACGGTTACGGAGGATGTCTCGCGCGACATCTATCGCTGAATCTCCAATTGGCCAGTCCGCCTGGCAAATGTATCCGCGTAGCTGGGCAGTCGAACTCTGCACCCCTTGCACCACAAACGATCGGGGGGCTTGCCGTTGACCCAGCCCACTCGAGGCGGGCAACAGTGCATCTCCCGATTTGAACCCCCGCGCTCGCTGTGCTGGATTGGTTCGTGTAGTGGGCCTGCTTGAACGCCCTTCGGTCTGTTTGGCTTCAGCCACAACGTCCGGGTCTTGGCTGGGCGCAGGCGCTCCTTCAGTCCGCACAGCAAAGGCCATAAGACACTCCCTGTACTGAATGGTCCGGCCAGTACCTCGAAAGGGCACATGACACTTGATCCTGCTTGGTGATACGGGCGGGCTATGTAGTCTCGATGCCTCGGTCGGCTGCACATCGGCCATATCCTGGCAGGCAGATTGGAAGCGCCGTAGTACCTATGTAGCCAGGCACCGTGTGAAGAAAGATTGAGCCTGTTGCGAAGCGTTTCCTTTTTTCTCCGGGCAAGGAGGTGTTTGGAGTGTGTGTGATCAGGACGTGTACCTCAAGCTGAAGCGGCGAACGGGCTGCGTGGAATTGTTGCGTCTCTGAAGTGACCAATAGGTCATGCTTCGTGTCATGTAGTGCGTAGTGCAAAAGCTTGGGCCCCTGTGCTGCGGCCAACACACCGGGCGCGTTCAATATCTACATCGCCATCAGATTGAAGGATCAGCGCTGGCAAATGATTCTGTTCAAGTCACGCGCCAGGAATGAGACTCTTTTTTTTGACGAGCACGGAGGTTTACGTACATGGGTTTCAAGATGACGAGTGCTGCGCTTTACCAAGCGTTTGACCAGGCTTTTACGCTCGCGCTGCGAGGCATGCATGACCAAGCTCAATGTTAAAGGGCTGTGTGATACGTATGGCAGGGAAGAGATGCAACTTCGACTCACCTCGCCGACGGGCGTGGCAAATGCACTTGTTGTGCGCGAAGAAAGCAATGAATCACCATCGGAAGGTGATAACACGGTCTGCGACGCAAGCCTGAACAGGCCTGCTGGCTCCGGTGAATTCAGCATCGTGCTTGAGTGGGTGGCTTCAGGGGCATTTGCATCAACAACGGCCTGTAGCTCGGGCTTTTTGGGCTTCATCAAGCGTAGGCGAATCAACACCCGCAGGGTAAGATGGGTCTTGGCCAAGATTGCTTCCAGCATGAGCCAGGCTGCACTTACTCGAAACAAGTGCTCGTCCACCGCTTCAAGAAATTTGCCGCGCTTCAGGTCATCCAAGGCCCTCTCCATTGCTGGCGCACGCGACAAATCTATCTCGTTCCCAACAAAGCGATAAGGCGGACAAGGGTGAGCCTGTCTTTGCAATTCAAGTGGACTCGAGCGCAGGCTCGCGTTAATCATGGCGAGGAGATGCATGCGTAAAAGGCAACCAACGCAAGACTACTCGAGCAACACATGGATCAAGACAACCACTCGGAAGCCCACCTAGTGCGGGCGAGTCGGCCAGTGTATGCTGCACCAGCACAATAGCAAAGGTACCGTCCAAGTGGACGAGCCAGGACTCCCCGGGTTGGAGACCCGGTAGCGCGATTGTCAGTCGTGGCAGGGCGAGGCGCGAGCGGGACGTGGTACTGAGAATATGCAGGTGGGCCAAGACCGTGCCAAGCCTTTGTTCACAGGTCCGGCTCAATGTGCTGCAAAGTCAAGTTCCACGTGTTTTCATGAGCACCTTGGTGCGGTCACCACAGCTCTCAACACATGGGGCTGGGCTGACCTCTGAAGCAGGAGAGAACGATGAATGCACGCGACCCCGGTGATGGATGACACAACGCCATCAAAGTTGTGATAGCACTGAGACAATGCTCGCGTAAGTTGTGCCTTCAGTGCTGAAGGCAAGCTTGCAGCTTGGCCCCAAGGCAAACTACTCACGGCCACGGGTAGGATTGAGTCAAGTTTTAGCATCGCATCAAACAATCCGAGCCAACACGGTTGTTTCTTACCGTGAGCATAGCATGCCATCGCCGCCGAACGTTTGGTGCCCAACAGTGTCTGGGTCTAATCGTGCCAACGCGTCATCGGCCAATTGTAGAAAGAGCAAGTAAAGGTGCTGTGTCAAAAGTGCTTGGCCTTGTTCATTCAAGAGCAAAGTCTAGGGGGTGATAGCACGTCGACAGACGCCCAGCGCCAGTTATCAGCAAAGCACTCTTCAAAATCAACACAAGCCTGCTGCTTCTGGCCAAGCTCAATCCGGGGCAGTTGAGCATCGACTAGTGACATACCTCAATAGATCCATGCAGTTGGGCGATGACTGAGCAAAAGTCTCGCTGTCGCGCAACAAGGTGTGCCAGGCTGATGACGGACGCTTCGACGACGAACACAAGAAAATAATCCTTGCTTAGAGGCAGGAAGCTCGCGCGCAACAGTACCCCATCGATCTGAAGCTGAGTGCTGAGAACCTACATCAGAGTATCGTGCAGGTGAGGCGTTAGTGTTTTTGAGGCTCGAACCCTTTGCTCGATGAAAACGAAAGGGTCGTCGCAACAAACCTCATCATGCGTCACGCTTTTGCTCAAATGATCAATCAGAGTCGTAAAGAGACCTTGGAGTTGCTCGACCCGCTCAGTAATGCGCTGACTCCACGCGGGCTGTGGCTCCTATTACCATTCGAGGGTGAGTGGCCTTGTGCTAGTGGACGCACTGAAATTGGCCTCGAAAGCTCGCGGCCAGTAATGAAAAAGAAAAAAAAAAAGTTGATGGAGATGCAAACTGCCCGTCTTGTGCAACTCACGCCGAGAGTGGGCTGGCTGTAATGAAAGGTCAGATCGACTTCATGCTTTCGGGCTTCCGAAGGCAGCCGCACTAATAAAGCATCGTGAAAAAACTCTGGCAAAACCTCGGCAACGGGTGATTGTCCTAGACGCATGAGCTGCGCCAGTCGAAGGAGTGCCGAAGCTGAAACATGCAAAGGACAAAACAGCTCCAAGTCAGACAGTGGATAATTTGAATCATGCCGGCGAAGCATGGCGAGTTGCTTTGGAGGTATCCCACTGACCAGGCGGGCTCGTTGCTAGCACGGCGGAAACTAGTTCTTCCTCCTTAACTTGTGCCCTAGAAGGCGGATAAGTTCATGCCGTGGGTGAGCGACGTGGTCAAAGAGAGCTTGCAATCATAGGAACGCAGGTTCCGTTCCACCGCACTGTTGTTGCGTGCTTTGAGATCAAATTCATTACCGGTGTAGAAACGTATCGCCAGGTAGCACGTGGGGCGATGCAAGTTCTGCCGCCAGGTCTTCATCCACGAAAGAAAGACATTCAGGGGTGCTGCAAGGGTACCGTGCCAGCCGTGATCCGGGCTCGCACGGCTAAAGGAAAAAAAAAAAAAAAAATGAGCTCAATATTTTGAAGTGAGCCTTGCGCATTTGGAGCGCCCAGTCGCTCACCAAGTCAAGACGCCATGTGCAAATGAGGGGGCGTGGTTGGGCATCAGCCAGAATAGTATTGTCCCCGCGCCAATGTGTCATGAACACGGCTGATGGAGACATTTTGGGATCAGTCGGTAGCATCGTGGTCGGCTGGGCAATCTGCGTGTCGCCATGCTGGCGTACGGCAGCTATGGCAGCAAAAAGCAGCTCATTTCCATCACGTCGATGCAGGTGTTTCCCAAGCTAAGTAGCACGGCACAGTGTGAGCTGTCAATGAAAGGCACAGACGGAGCTGAGATCTGGTCTCGGCCGAGTAGCAAGCGCTCACCTCGATGCTATGCCGCTGCTTGGAGTAGTCTTGAGAATCTGTTGAGCTTGGGTCCAGCGAGGTTGTGGGGCCATGGCGCAGCTCTGGCTCAATAATGGTGGGAAGGGGTGGAATCTCGCTTGCCTTTGAAAAGGCTGGAGTACATAACACAAGGTGAGATGGCAGTCCGCTTCGATAAGTCAAAGAAGTCAACAATCGCTCAACAAAGCAAAGCCCAGGGTCAAGCCAAGAACATAGATCCTCAGGCCACGGGCCCGATGTCTCCTCCCGTGCGCAGCGTACCCGTTTGTAAAGGAGTTGCATCATCAAGCTCTACGCTTGGCTCGGGTTCGGCGGATGCGACCTCGCCTGCAAAAGTTGGCACCTCCGTTGGGTCTGACTCGGCCGTGTTCTCCCCAAGAAGATCAAAGTCCTCCCACGCATCATCACTAAAGCTGACGGTGCGTGTGCGTGTCCGGTCGCCCCGATGTATCCCTGGTGCATCGTCTTGAGCTGTGTCGATCGAATCGGCCTGATGCTGGCCGAGAGTATCAGAAGTCGGGGTAGCAGCTGAACCATGTTGCTCTGGCTCGGGTTGAGTAGGCGCGAGCGGCGGTCGTCCAAAATCCAGGACAGACTGCTTCGTTACTTGAGAAGATCTATCTTCTCCCTCGCGCACTTCACTGCCGGAAAAGACATCCAAGCTATCTGTTTCACCGCCTTCATCATCTGACAAATCAGCCAGGAGGGCAACCGCAGCAAGGAGGCCCTGACTGGACAGGGTCTTGCTGGTACTGGCAGCAGGCGAGAGGAGATCGGTTGATGCGGCGCGGCGCGGGTGGGTACGACTGCTGGCAGTGCCCGGCAGCGAGGAGGTAGAGTGGCGCTTGCGGGGGGCTTGATCGACGGTGCTGTCACTGGCTACGGATGGACTGCGCGCAGTGCCGTCATAGCTCCAATCTGATCCCAATGGGAGGCGCGGTCGAGCAGAAAAGATGTCACTGCCGCTGTCGCCACGACTCAAGGTTAGTGAGGCTCTAGCTGAGGACACGCGTGAGTTTGAGTGTGGTGACGTCGAGGTGACTGTTGATGCGCCATCGACGCCAAAGGTGGTGATGCGCTGCGCGTTTCGGCCGCGCGGCGAGTTGGAACGAGGGCTGAGGGGACGGATGTTCCCACTGGTGCGAAGAGACGGTCGACCAGGCGAGCGAGTTGAACGGGTTGAACGAGTCGGCGATGGAGTTGTAACTACACGGCAAAGCGTGTGAAAGAACCACGGGTTGAACATGAGTAGAGGCGACAAAGGAGGGGGTTGTGCACGTGAAGCGAGCAAGCGCGAGAGATACATACAAGTCAGCGAGCTAAGATTGCCCATGCTGTTGGATGCGCGTAGTTGTTCGCTTATGGGAGGACGGTGAAGCGAGCGGCCTCGCTCGAATTCTGGAGGTAGGTGGGCAACCATTGGGGGCATCTGATCAAAGAAGCTGGGCTGTCGCTCAACGGCTGGCGAGTCGTGGGCGAAGAGGTGCGTGGGCATGGGCAACTTCTGCACCCCACTTGCGCGAGCCTGATTTGGGCTTGCCGTAGCAGAGCGCGTGCGGGTGAGCCCACCGATATCGGGGCCCATCATGTAGGAAGAGCGCTGGCTACTGACGCGGGGGCTGCCCGTCGGTTCGATCGCGATGTAGGAAGATCGTTGGCTGCTGCTACGCGGGCTAGGTGTGCTGCCCCCTGCCGTATTGGCACTCGCACCGATGCGTACGCCGCCACTGGAAGCATTCTTAAACGCAGCATCCGACTCGTGGACGAGGGCCTCCAAGGCCAGCATGTCCAGGCGACGCGACATGATGCGCCGTTATTGTCACCACCACGAAAGCCACGGGCAAATTCCCCCCCAGGGACTGCGCACACGCGACTTGAGTCGGGTGCGCTGTCTGGGTGGGTTCTCAAGCCGGTTTACACGTGATCCTAGCTGGCACCGATTCCCACATCGCTAAAGTATCAGCTATCATGAGCAGAGACCGAGGGGCAAGAGTAGGACGGGACTGGCCAGTCGCTCAGTTCTCAGCTGCGTTTCGATCAGATCGCCTGCCTTGAACAAGCCTCCTAGCTGCACCAGGAGGGGATGGCGGAGCCTGACGAGCCCGTGGACTTGACCATCCAGTAAAACTAAAGAGATCAGAGGAACAAACCCACCAGGAGCACCAGTTCCCCTTGACCCGCATTCACCACACGATAGAGGCCAGCGGCGCGATACCTGATCTCCGAGACCACCGTCAATTGTCGCCACAAAACAAGGCAAAGTCAGCCACAACGACTACCAAGTGTAACATGGCGTTGCTTTTTATCTGACGTTTGTGTGTGTGTGTGTGTGTGTGTGTGTGGTGTGTGTGTGTTGTGTTTCATTTCTGTCGGCTGCAAGGATGGCAGCAGGGATCCTCGCCGTGGTTTTCGCGCTGATTCTGGTCGCTGCACCGGCCCCTGAGCAGGCAGGCAAGGTGGACAGGTGTGATGATGAGGTCAAGGCTGCTCAAGTTGTGGTCACGCGCCGTCTAGATCAACTCAAGCGACATCGGTTAGTAGCGTCTCCTTCACTTGGCTCCACAGCGCTTGCTTGCATGTAAGCTTGCCAGGTCGAAACTCGCCTCTGCCTCAACATCCTTCTGCTCTGGTTATTCGCGCTCTTGACCCTGACAGGGTTGCAACACCTTCGCCCTCTGGAGCACTTTCGACTCTGTACTTCTTGCATGTCCCAAAAACCGCGGGCACATCCATGCTACATGCCTTCCTCGACGCGGTTGCCACAAGTCAGGACAATGCGGCCGACCGCTCCATCTTGCGCTGCCATCGGCATTTGGATCTATCCAACTGCTTTATAGTCTACAATGCGACCTCAGCCACGCAGTGCACCGGTGGAAGGCCAGCGGCTTGCGGCTATGTGCTCACCCATGCTGGATTGGATGTCACCTTTGCCATGCGGCGAGATGTGCTAGCCGTGACCATTCTGCGAGATCCTGCCTCACGCCTGCTGTCCTACTACAACTACCTCCGTCGACCAGCCAACCCGAGTGCTTTTGCACGCTGGTATAGGGCATCTCCACAGCGGGCGCTCGACAACATCATGACTGGCTACTTGGCTGGCGAGGCCATGGGTCCGGCGGGTGCACTTGTCGCGCCCGTCTGGCATCCCATTACAAACGCATCGCTCGGTTCTGCCAAACGCCACTTGATCTCGGCAATTGACCTCTGGGGGTTTCAAGAGGATTTGAATCCTTTTCTGCGCTGGCTCGCCTACCTGTGGCCACATCACAACGCCTCCAAGCACATTCATGCCATGACAACGAGCAAGCGCTATCAGCCGCATGAGCACGGCACCCGTGGCATTGAGAGCTCAGCAATGCCAGCCCATTCTACTCCGACCAACCTGCAGATCAAGCACCTGGACGAGGTCCTTCTTTCAGAGGTCTGTGATCACATGCTTTTTGGGTTGATCGGTCAGGGTGGAGAGCAACCAGGCTGACACCGCATTTTCTCTTGGGGCCCAACCCTGCCGGTAGATTCGCCGCCGCAATGCTATCGATCACGAGTTGCTGACCTTTGCCCGTCGCGTGTATGAGGGCACACCTGCCATCAAAGACCCGACGCTGGATGTTTAAATCGTTAAAACGCAACGTTCGTCCATCTTCTCCCTGAGATCTGCGGCAGCAGTGTACTGCATTAGCTTCAGGGTCCGCGCTTGGTGACGCACCCTTTGATTTACAGAAATGTTGCATTAGAACCCGCTGCGCGGGTAAGATAAATCCAATAATTAATTATTATGATGAATGATGATCAGTAATGATCAGGATGTTGTGAAACACAACGGCAATCTCTGGAAAGCCTCGACTTTGATCGTTTACAACCAATGCCTGTTTGTGGCATGACACCAGCTTGGTGTCCCTCCGCGTCATGTTCGCCTCAAAGCCGACTCTCGCTTTGATTCGTGTCCTCTAATGTCGGGCTTGGGCTCAATATTAAGCGTGGGGTTGCCTGAGAAGCCGGTAAAGCAGTGGGCGTGGCAGCCGCCTGCGACACGCCCACCGCAACCCACTTGTCCTGAAGTTGGGCAAAGGTGGGGCGATGCATTGGATTCAGGTCGATGCACCATCTCATCACGCTTGCCAATGCCGGGGGGCAGTGAGCGGGCGGTTCAAAGGCGGGAGCTCGAGCTTGCATTTCCACATGGTCACCGGAAGATCCTAGGCTAGACCTTCTCTGACGAATCAACCCCGAACTTTTGCGGGAAAGCTCCACAAGTAGTCCCATAAAAGCTGCATCGTCAAGATGGGCTAGCGGCAAATCATCTTCAAAAAGTTCGTGCATCAAAACTCCATACGCATACACATCAGTAGCTTCGTTGGCCATCTTGTCCTTGAGCATTTCCGGCGCCAGCCACCGCAAGGGCAAGGGCCGCGAAGTCTGAATGCCTATTTGAAGACCACGGGTCGTGAGTTGTAACTGCCGCAAGTCACCTCGGATGGTTTGTCGAGAACGCACGGTAGTATTCGGAGGCCCCTTCATGAGATACAGCTGTGGCTCGGCTCAGGCCATAGTCTGACACCTGGATATCGACCCAAGAAAATGAGCATCGTGAGATTGGAAAAAAAAAAAAAAAATTAATAAATAAGAACAAAAGCAATGCCGCCTTGTGCATTCAAACATTGCAATTTGTCGCGATCTGACCTTGACGGAGCTAAGGTCGCCTGAAACAAGCACTGCGTCGGAGACGAACGGCGAAACAATGACATTAGGTCATAGACAATGTGCACATGGGAACATCTTCCTTCTTCCCGCCAACCACCTTTCCTTTTGTCAACCAACAAACAATGTGATGCACATACAAACCATTGCGAGCTGCAAGGTCACGATGCACCACGCCGCAGCGCACGAGCTCAGCCATGCCGTTTGCGATGGAATGGAGAACATGGATGGACAAGTCTGTGTCAAGCGGACGTGCATGGTGGTCGTCCAGCCAATCAGCGAGGGAGCCACCATCCAGATACTCTATCACCAGGCCGGGATGGGCGTCGTCATCCACCACGTGCAGCAATTGTACCAAATTGGCATGCTTTAATTTTCGCATCGTGGTCATTTCCTGCACAAACTCGTCCTTCACTTCGGAATCGAGCAAGCGCTTGACGGCCACCAGACGCTGCTTCCGTTGATCCTCGCTGCTGATACCCTCCAACTCCATTAACATAACCTCGCCAAAGGCACCGGCTCCCAGATTGCGCACAAACTTCAGACGTGAATAATTGATGTAAAAATTGCGCTGTGGGTTGCAGAGCTCTTCCACATCGACGACCAGGCGGCGAAAATCGGCCACGAGCTGCTGCGACCCCATGACAACGTCGCAGCGACGTACCACGTCTTGGACCAAACGATCGCTGGCAAAGGCATGTCCAAAAGCTACGCCGGCCTCTCGGATCACGCCTTGCAATTGAGCCAGAGCTTCACGAAAAGCTTGTGCCAACTCCGGAACGTGCTTGATGTGCATGCCTGAAACTTTGAGCAGTCCGGCACCAACCCGACAACAGCTGAGGCTCAGACCACTCACTGCTAGACCACGGTGTGCCATGTAATCGAGCCAGGAAAGGAGCTGGGCGCATAACCATTGCCGGAGTCGAAAAACAGCCGGCGTTGGGGCCAATTGTGTCAAGATAGGAAAGTCTTGCACAACCAAAGCTTCTTCCCACCCCTCGTCCCCATAAAGGCGCGTGTGAGAGATGACAAACTGCTGGTGGGGATGTCGCAGCTGGTTGGCAAGACGACACGAATTTGTCCAAGTGGCCGAGTCCTGGTCACGTCGAACCAAGGCCACTAAAGAGGTGTGGCTCAGCTGCGCAGCATTTGTCACAACTTGCACGGCATCAAATCCACTCGCCAGCGCCCGTCGCCGTCGCACCTGAACGGGCAAATTGGGAAAGCTCAGCTTCTCCTCATGCTCGAATGCCCACTCACATTGCAAAAGTTGCTGGTAGATGCTACGAAATGCGGGGCGCTCTTTTGGATCTGCCGCGATGCATTCAGTATAGAGCGCGGTAGCAGCCGGCAAGTTGTGCGTTTGAGGCAAGGGTGGCAGCTGTGCTTGCCGTTGTCGCATGAGCACTTGCTGGCCATCCAATCCGGCAAAAATGGGGGTGCCATTGGCCATCACCTCGTACATCAAAGCCCCATAGCTAAAAACGTCGCCGGGGTTGGTGGGATGTGGGCACAACAGAAGCTCAGGGGCAAAGTACCGCGTACTGCCCCACGTCGCTGGGTCCCACACAGGTACGATTGTATGGCTTTCCGGCTTGATAGCTAGGTCCTCTTGATCTGGCACAGTGGGTGTTGCAAAGCCGAAGAGCTTGACCAGCGGGGCATTGTTCATCACGAGGACACTTTCGGTACAGACACGACCATGAATCAGCTTCAAATCCTCCAGAAAAGACAACCCGGCCGCCAGCTATCGGCACGATAAGCAGAAATAATGTGAGAAAGCGATCGATGAGATGTGAACTGGCTGAATGCCGAGTGTCATGGAAACCCTCACCGCGACCATGCCACACACACATACACATACGCGCGCGCACGCGTTCGCACCTGCAATAGAATGCTCTGCTTTTGGGCAAGCGCCAGAGGAGCCACAGAGGCCAAGTGTGCTTGCAAAGTAACTGCTGTGGCCGACCCTTCGAAAAGCAGGAGCCCAGTCTGATCGGTGTTGGTTGTAAAGGCCTGTAGCGATAAGATGTAGGAACTGCGCTGTGTCATAGCGTGAAGCGCGGCTTGAGCCCACGCACGCTGACGGGCAGCCGGGTGAAGGTCTCTGCTGCAACGCACACACAGCGCTGGTTGTCCGCGAAATTGGCAGTGCCGGAAGGCTGAGTTTTCGATGGCTGGGCCAATATGTGTGGGGCGTGCCCGCTGGTTCAACAGCTGAAGCCAAGCTCTGGGAAGATCTTCAAAGTTAGCTTGCGGATAGACCTGGCGGAGAAACCGGATGTTGGCTTGCACAGACACCTTGACCTGGCTGGCCTCGGTTCGACGGTTGAACCAAAGGAAGCCGGCAGCACCTAGACTGAGAGAAACAAGGACAACAATAACAATGACAACCAAGAGGATGGTGGAAGCCCGCGATTGACTGCCAGTGGCTTGCGGTGCAACCGAGCTCAAAGATCCGAACGGCGTCGTCGACGAGGAAGTGGTGGGGTGATAGATCAAGGCATCATAAGCGGCGGCAAATTCTTCTGGAGTCTGACGAGCTGGCAGCACATCCGAAGTTTGCGCAGGACTCCCGGCGATACCAAGCATGTTCCCCTCGACAACGCGATACGTGCCAGTAATGTTGGCATCGGTGTTGAGCTGTCGATGGTCACGGGCGGTGGCGCTGATGTAGACGTAGGGCGCAGACGCATCTCGATTTAAAATCATGCTAGAGCAAGCGCATGGAAGTGTGAGAACACGGGCCGGCTTTACATTAAGCGGGGGAAATTTGCTTTTGAGTTATCAGCGCATGCAACTGACCGGCTGGTGCTTATGCCGGCGTGAAGCTCCAGCGTGTGCCAGCTGCGCACGACGCCGTGCCATTCGTAACAGCTTTGGTTGAGTGCCAATTGGGAGTCAGAACGGACAACGCCGCGCACTACAGACATGTTGGCGCCCTGCAAGCAAGCAAAGGTGGGCCATTCCGGGGTGATGGTCTGCGAGTCTATGAAAGCGATTCGAAAGCGGCATCCAGCTTCATCCTCCCCATCGGGACATTGGGCGGTGCCGTCACATATTTCCGTTGGATCGAGGTGAACGTTGGGCGCAGACAAACAAGAAAGTCGTGGCATCACGGGGGGTGGACAGAAGGGAGCACCGGAATAGGGCGGGTCGTAACAGTTGCAGTGGAGAGCCAAAACCGCCGTGGGGTTGACCATACCGATACAGGTAAGATCTGATGAGGCGATGGTGATGGGATCCTCATCCGGTGGGGTCAGCAGCAGGTCCGTTATGTTGAGGATTCGCCACCAAGCATCATACGCCAAGGCCCGGACTTGAGTGTCAAATGAAGTGATGCCAATCAGCATGGTCCGAAGACTCCCGGCTTGAGGCAAGACGGTGTGATCGATTTGGGCAGGGCCGGTAACGGCAGTGATTTGAAAGTACTCCAGATGAGGAAAGGAAAGGCTGAGCCCTCGCAGGGATGCCATGTCTTGAACCCAGAAGCTGTCGAGATAACGCATGTGAGGAAATACGGGTGGGACTTCTGCCCAAACCAAGTCGAATATCGTGTTGTCTGAATAGCGCAAGTATTCCAAAAGAGGGTATCTTGTGGCCAGGATTGTCAAATTCAGAGCCAGATTAGATTCCAGCCCACGTACAGACCAGCCTTTCAGCCTGGGAGCCACGGGATAGAGGGGTGCGGCGCGGACGCAATCGACGAGCTCGATAAAGCTGAGTGCCGGAAGCTCTGGCAGCTTTGAAGGGGAGACTTTGTCGGTCAATTCGAAAAGAGTGAGCACGGTGAGCTGCGTAAGATTGGCCAATCGATCCAGCCTGGGGCTCATCTCAGTTTCTGGCGGGAAAGAGACAGCGAAGGATGTGATATCCCAAGCAAGGCCTCGTGGTATGGCCTGGGCATTGGAACAATACCAATCATACTCCCCACGAGGCAAGATCTGATGAGGACGGCAATTGCGCAGTGCGCTGGAGGGTAAACAGGACCCGGTCCAGGTGTCGCCTTGACATTGCAGACTCAGGGGCACGTCAGGAGAGCAGGTGACGTTGCACATTGCTAGGGTTTCAAGGCTCCCAGAACAGGTTTGTCCATCAAAGCGCGGCGGTACAACGGGGCAAGTCGCCACGGCACCCGAGAAAAGACTGATGAGAAGAAGAAGAAGAAGAAGAAGAAGAAGAAGAAGAAGGGGAAGAGAACGCCGCCGGTCGAACAGCGGCGCTGGAGCAGCAGCACCAGCCATGTTGAAAAGGTCGGGTTAAAAAGAGGGACACCTAACCAACGTCCTCAGATACCCCGGCACGAAGCGATGGAAGAGCCGAATGGAGCCGAATGGAGCCGAATGGTACGGTCCCAATCGACAAGAAGGGAAGAGGGCAAGAAGGTGGTCCTTGTGAACGGCATCAGAAAGCGCACCCGTCCATTATCGGTGATGGGTCACCGTGGTGTAGCATCAGGTGGTCGCCACCCGCCCTGCCAAAACCAAAAACCAAAAACCAAATGAAGAAGAACAACACACACACACAAGAACAAGAAGCAGATGGCCAGTTGTAATTTCATGGATGTGGGGTTGTCATGCTTTACGTGCGGATGGGACTTTGGTTGTGAGTGTGTGGATGTGGGGTGTTTCTTTTTCTTGGATCAACGACCAAGTGCACAGGATGGCCGGGACTCAACGACCAAGTACACAGGATGGCCGGGAAAATATGAAAAGGATTTGGTAGGTTGTTAGGGTCAGGGTGGTTTAAATTGATGGGGGGCGAGGGTGGCGTGTCCCATGCTTGGTCATGCTGATGGGGTCGTGATGCCTGCGCTGGACACGACAAAAGGCGCCGTACTCGAGGGGTATGAAGGGGAAAAAACAAGTGTGATGGTGCGGCGCGCCAAACTGGTGCTTGCGCCACGCGGGGTGGTGCGCCGTACGAGAACCCGGTGATTAACGCAGTTGGACCAGGCAAGGCCGAGGGCAGGAACGACGGCGCGGGCGCCAGAAAACGCGGCAAGGCCCGTCGCATCCACGTGATCGGACACCTGGTTCGTACAGACGACGGTCAAGTTGCGCTCAGCAGCCAATGCCTTGAGCTGACGTGCAAAGTCCAAGATGGTGTTGGCGCGATGGTGCATTTCAGACAGTTGAAAATCCCCCCGAAAGATCGCAGCCAGCGAATCGATAATAATCAGCCGCACGGCAGGACGCGCAGCACACACGCGAGGTACCTCGACCTCTAAGAGCCGCTGCAGCGCTGTTGTATCTGCGGCGCTCATGAGAAGCACACGATCGGTTGAGACGTGACCCCGCCATTCCGGATGCAGTTCCAGCTGCCCGGCCAAGATCTCGTGCAAACGATCTGACGGAAAGTTGGCTTCCGTGTTAATGTAAAGCACCTCGCGCGGCTTGGCCTGTGTTGAAGCCACGGCTTGAGGGCTCGGTTCTGTAGTAGGTTTGGGCTGAGCGGGTATTTGGGCAGCCAGTGCCAAATGCAGCATGAGCTGAGTCTTTCCTGAGGAGGACTCTCCACAAAACTCGGTCAAGCTGCCAGATGACAAAGCTTCCCCCAACACGGCATCCACCTCGTCCACGCCCAGGCAGATACACTGCTCGCGTTGAGACCATAATTGACTTGCCTGCTGCAGCGATGGGGCCACAACCGCCGCCGCCGCAGCCCGGAGCTCCTCGAGACCGCGGGCCGACAGCTTGGTAATTTGCCGAAGCTCGGCGTCTGAGTAATGCACTAGGTCTCCCGCCTGTTGCAAACCGGCAGCCTCAAGCCGAGCCAAGGCCTCTGGATTGGCTTCAATCTGGGCCAGCCCAGCCTCCATCTGAAACGACATGGCTTGTTGTTCTTGCTCCGGGAGTGGGGAACGATCGTCCCACCGATCACCGGGGCCGGCCTCAGCTGGCCGCGACTCTTTTCCGGACCGCTCAGCTCACTCCCAAGTCTTTGCGTTGCCCCAGCATGATGCTTGCCCACTACCCTATTCTGAGGCCCACCAGTGCTCACCGCACACACACACACACACACACACACACACACACACACACACACACACACACAGAGTCCAAGGCGGGGAGGAGGATGAGGGCACGGAAAGCGGCTCTCCTCCTAGCTCAAGAACGACAGCCGACAAAAATGAGAGAGAGAGCCAGCCAAAGGAAACCGTTACACACTTCTTAGACTCGATTCTAAAATCATACCCGGTAAAATAAATTAGAACCGATTGTCAGACTTTTATTGTGTTTGGATTTGTTTGTGTTTTTCTTGACTCGGAACGAGCTGAACCGGCAACGGACCAGGGCTGCCATCATCATGACACGGTCGCTGATGCTGGGGGTGGTGGGCAGCTTGCTGTGTATCCTGTCCAGAAGCGCTGCTGATGGGGTGCCGGGCAGCGAGGCGAAGCGACCCAATATCGTCTTCATTGTGGCTGATGATTGTTAGTGAGGCGTGCTTGCTCTCCGTCGGTCTGGTCGGCTTTTCACGATCAGCGGATCTTGCTCACTGATCAACTGGGTAGTGGGATGGAACGATGTTAGCCTGCATGGGTCACCACAGATTCCCACGCCCCACATCGACGCAATCGCCCACTCTGGCGTCCATTTGACAAATTACCACGTCCAGCCCGTCTGCACACCAAGTCAGTGCTGCTGCTGCTCCTGCCGCACACCCAAACCCCGCTCGCCTGGGGCTCACTCTGAATCCATTCATGCTGCGATGCGCCGATGCTTTCAGCCCGTTCCACCTTTCTATCCGGTCGCCACGTGATTCATACCGGCATCTATATGCCGTTTGCCCAAGGTGTGGGGGACACCAACATTCACTGTCTTGCTCGCAGGCGCACGCATCACACCCTGAATGCTTCCCCACCCCCCGGTGCAGGCACGGCCCTCCGACTCAATCTCAGCTACACGCTGCTCCCAGCCTATCTCAAGAAGCTTGGCTACCGGTACGCTAGCACGCTTTGATTTGCACCGCATATCCCACCCAACCCTTGCTGCTCGGAAGCGATGCTGACTCGCGCTCACATGTGGTTAGAACGGCGGCTGTTGGAAAATGGCACTTGTGCGTTTGCTGCTGCCTGACCTGAAGATAGCCGTGCCTTGTTTTTGCCTTCTTCAAAGCTCCTTTTGCCTGACGTCTTCCAGTATTTCCTGCGCTTGCCTGGACCTGCAGGGGACAAAACGTTGAGAAGGCTCTGCCCACGGGTCGTGGCTTTGATGAGTATCTTGGCTATTGGTACGTTTGCTCTTTGCTCGAGCATCCCTGTCTTCAACCCCCTCGCGATATCGCGCGGCGGCTGATTTTGTCCTTTGCACGAGCTTAGGAGTGGTGCAGAAGATTATTACACGCACGATACGCATGGCGGGTAGGTTGATCTGGCCGTTGTGTTGTGCTGGTAGTGCACCGATTTCGCCACGCATCGCCCGACTTCTCGAAACCAATCATTTTTTTCCTGCCGGCCCACCCTACCAGGTATGACTTCCAAGACGGGACAGAGTGCGCAATCAAATACAACAACACATACTCAACGTATATTTTTGCCGAGCGTGCAGTGAATGTAAGTCAAAAGCGGTACACGTTTATTGAAGCATGTTCGGCCCCGTCTGCTCGCGCCCACCCTGCTGACCGTGGCTGCTAGACTATACTTGAGGCTGACCCGGAGCAGCCACTTTTCCTGTACACAGCTTTCCAAAACGGTGCGCTTGGCGCTCGGGTGGGCTTTGTCCTCACAGCTTATGTTCAATCACGAGCTTGTTGCCCGCCACCAGTTGATTCTGTTGCCGCCTTGCTTCTCCCAACTGGTCGTGCGTGCGGTGTGCATACTAGTGCACTGGCCTTTGGAAGCCCCAGCAGAATATGTGGCGCGTTTTTCGCACATCCCAAATTCCGAGCGCCAATATGTGGCCGCCATGACCAGCATCCTGGACGACGTACGCATGCATCGTTTGCAGCGGATTCTAGCTTGCTCCGCCCGCGGTGCCATGCCCATTTTTCACACGGCGGGCGTTAGGCTGTTGGCAACATTACTGATGCCTTGAAAAGATCCCGCATTGCCGACAATACCATTTTGATTTTTACCTCTGGTTGGTGCACCTGCTGGACGAGACTCACTTGCTTCCTTTTTTTGCTGCCAGTGTGCATCCACGATGACGATTTCTGCACACCTGACCCTGCTGCGCTGTCAACACTATCGTGCGTGTGCAGACAATGGCGGTCCCGTACACGACGAAAACACGGAGAGCAACAATTATCCCCTTCGAGGTGCGTCGATGTTCACCGGCGCTGGGTTGAAGTCTCGAAATCGGCTGTTGTCGGTGGTGGAATCAGCTGCGCTCGCGTACAGTGATCAACCAAGACCCGCCTACGTTGTTGGCACGTGCATTTGTCAGGTGGTAAAAACACTTTGTGGAACGGTGGTACCCAAGTGGTCGGGATGATTGCTGGCAAGGGCATTGAGAACCCAGGCACGGACTGTCATGGCATGATGCATGCCAGTGACTGGCTGCCCTCCTTGGTATGAGTAGCCCGTTGCCATCTTGCGCACCGACGTTTCAAGGCACAGCGGCGCGTGATGAGAGGGGTTTTTTTCTGTGCGCTTCTCTGCTGATGCCGTTGCATTGGGTGACATTCGATAGCTGACGGCAGCGCTGAACGGCGGCGACTGGCACCAACTGATTGACGACCAAGAGCCCCCGTACATTCTTGGCGATGGCATGAACGTGTGGAACATGCTGAGCACCTGTATGTACCAATGCCTAAAGTTCACGAGATGGGCAGTTATTAGACGGGGCCAGTCGTAAAACGCTCGTTTGAAAGCAGGCTGTTGAGCTGATGATCCGAGTGCTACCCAGGCGCGCCGTCCCCGCGCGAATGGATCCTGCATGAAGCCCACCCAGCCGACGACAACAACACGATTCACGGCAATGCCATCACCAAGGGTGACATGAAGCTGGTGAATATTGGTCCCTTGGAACCCGAGCCCGGATGGTGCGTCATGTGCCTGCTCCTTGCATCTCGTCCGTTGACAGTCTCCTCTTGCTTTTTCTCGAGCTGCTTTAACCATCACACTCCTCTCTGTTTACATCCTTTGAACAATCCACATGGCCATTGCAGGTATCCACCAGCAGGTCAAAACGCCTCTGACACGCCCTACACCCTGCAGTGCGGCGCCCCTCCCCCGGTGCGCTCTTCTGGACCCAAATCTGTGTGGGCACGCGATCCCGAGGGTAGCATTGCACTCATGAAGCTTATTGTCTCTGCGTTCCCGTTGGTGTAGCTCAACAAATCCGAGTGCACGGGCGCAGACTGGTGCTTGTTCAACATGACCGCTGACCCTTGCGAGCACCACAATCTGGCCAATCACTTTCCAGATATGGTAAGTGCTGCCAGAAAACGGCCCCCGTATCAAGATGTGCCGACCAACTAAATGGCTCTGCATTGCATCATCGTCAGGTTTCAGAGCTCAAAGCCCTTTTAGCTCAGTTTCAAGCAACAGCTGTGCCCGCCGTTGAGCCAGAAGGCTGCAATCCGGTGATCAACAACCAGGGTTGCTGGCGGCCCTGTGACTTGCCTTGAAAGCTTGAACGCAGCCAACGTATACTGTGAATAATGTGCTTTCCGCTTCCGTTTTCGGGTCGTTGATGTTCCAATGACCAGAGCAGCACCAAAGACAAACATCAAAAAAACAACAAGATCATGACATGAGTTTCGAGACAAGGAGTGGTGGTGTGGGGGGGGGGGGGGGGGTGCCTCCGTC